TGATCAACAACATCAACTGCTGCGTTAACCTTCTTCAGGTTACCGATGTAATCAAATCTAACTTGACCAACAGTATGAGTGATACCAGCGATCACTCCATTGATACTAACTACAGTATAAATTACATCCTCAATCCAACGTCTATCTAGCTTATTGCGACCATGATTGTAACGCACAACCTGATCACCTGGTTTGAGACTGAATGAGGCTCTAGCTATGCTTTGACCAGCATAAGAACTGCGAGATCTCATCATAGAGTCGAGATTCTCGGCTTCCATAGCAACATAAACGCTATCATCAGAAATACGCTGAGTGAACGATAAGATCATTGCATCCAACTCACGAGTGGTCGGAATGCGCAGGGGTAGATTGTCCGCTAATGCAACCTTAGCAGGCTCACTCAGCTGACGCATAGTTGATAAGCTAGCCGGTAATGCCCGACCATACACGAAGTGTAAGTCGGAGCTGAAGTACCCACTGCTCAATGATGGCCTCGTTATATTATTACAAATGTAGCATGCCCGTGGTAGAAGATCGTACCAGTTAGCCTCTTGTCCAGAACCTCGGGCTGACTCCTGCAATAACGACCTTAGCAGGTGGTTAATCAATCGGTGACGCGACTCATGCCATCCTGAGAGGTAGCTCGAGTGGCTTGGAGCATGATACCACCGTATACCATGGCTGCGAGCATAAGCGACTACCGGAGTGGAGTGATATCTTTGATCGTCATCTGATAACACTCCCAAACAATACCCATGCTCCATGAAGATGGAGTCGAGACCTTCGACGAGCTTGTGAGCAGGACAATGGTTCTCGATCTTTCGTTGTACTATAAAGCCACTGCTTGCACAAACACCGATGATCGCCATAACAGACTCATGTCCCATCGGTCTCACACCACTCTGAACGAATGGACCGATTAAATCAAGACCCATAAGCTCCCAAGGCTCGACACTACGAGCTAGCTTCTTGCCAAGAGTATGCCTTCTCGTTCGAATGCCTCTCTGAGCTACACAGACTGGGCAGGCGTTCTGTACTCGGAGAGAAGTACGCATACTGCCAACATCATAATCAGCGATAGTACTGCTATACAACTTATGTGCACCGATATGGCCATAGAATTCGTGCAATCGGAGTGCAACATCCCAGAGCTTACTGATAGGTACCACCAAACCACCGCTGACCTTATTGATAACGAAGCTCCTCCATATGGTTCTCCTTCTCTACAAATTCATACT